TATATATATACAAACATCCTCATCGTATATAACTAAAAAAAAAATAAATTTTCAAATAAAATTTAATTTTTAATATTATTTATGTATATGTTTCTCGACTACGTACCAGAGGCACGAAATACATGGATAATATTCTTTGAAAATACACTTCCTGAATCTTGAATATTAATTACACTAATATAATAAATTAATATAATGAAATAAAATAACAACAAAAATCGCAGTAATCTCTTCAATAACCAATAATTCTAAGCGTAAATCGAAACACACGGCTGACATCGCTATAATCGCAGTAATATGTGATAAAAGACTAACGCGAACAAACTTTATCACGCACGTTAACGTACATACATGTTAAATAAACATTGTTCAGTATTTTATAATTTTTTTCTGTGCAGAGATTGCATAACTTTTTTTTATTTAATATTTATCTTTACTAATTAGTTTTTAGATAGGAACTTTCCAAGAAACATTGATCAAAATTTTTAGAGTTTTTGATTAACAGAAACCGCCCAATATTTATTTACTGTTTTCAGTTGTTAGTTTCTACTTAGAAACTAGTCAAGAAATACTGGCCAGTATTTTTCGAGTTTTTGATAGACAGAAACTGCTCAGTATTTACTTATTATTTTTTCTTGGATAATTTCTGATTGGAAACTGATCAAGAAATACTGATTAGAAAGAATTTTCAAAATTTTGTTGAACAGAAATTGCATAGTATTTATTTACTATTTTTTGCATAGTTTATGGCTAATAAATAATCATAAAACAGTGGCCAATAGTTTCTGAGCAATTACTGTCTAATTAATTCAAATCAGTAAAAACTGTTCAGTTTCTGGATAGTGATCAGTTTTTCCCTGAAATTTTTCTACTCGGATCTACTGTATCTTACAGGACGAGTTAAATAATTTCACCATATTGTATCTAGAAAAATTATCAGGAGAACTTTATTACCAGAAATTATTAATAATACTATAATAATTTAAAATTTTTGTTAAAAATTTTTAGATACTATTCTTGTCTTGGATACAATAGGGATGAAAATAAGATTAACACTGCGATATTAATTTAATTTGACAAAAAGGATATATATTTGACGAGCGTAAAGTGTAAAGCCTTTTTGTGCGACGACTCAACTATAACTTACTTCTAGCGTGACGTAGTATATCACGAGATCTATTTGATATTCTCGAGTGCCCAAGAGAAGGCGCTGTGTCTTCGATTTGCATCGATCTATTCTAACAATTCTGTTGTTAGAAGAAGATATAAATTTACATAAATAAAATAATATAATAAAATTAGAATTTCTAATATAAAACTGATAATATAAAACTGATATTAAAAAATGATAAACATTTGAAGATCATAATGATAATTTTGTAAAAATAATATTTATAATATTTATAATATTTATAATATTTATAATATTTATTGAAACGGATTGGACGCAAAAATATTTACAATTTTTGTTCAAAATAAATCTAACTAATGGATTTAATGAGATGTTTATTCCGCAAGATCGTTATCGCAATGAATAAAATATGTATATCTGCACATATCTGCATAAACATGTTATATAATTTAGCTAGTTAGCCTTATAGTCTTTAGCTAGTTAGTAGTAGTGTAGCTAAATACAGTTCTAGTAACTACTTATTAACTACTTATACACTACCTATACAAATACTTATTTCTTGTGGAGGCAACTAGCCTGGTTACTAACGATTATTTATCATCTTTTTTACAAGAAGACATGCAAATTGATTCTCATATTTCTCGAAGTTGTTGCCACTTTTCCGCAACATTGATCGGTTCTTACTGCGCTTACTTCGTGAATGGCTGTCGTCGCGAAGTTTTGACAGTTGTGTTGTGACAAAAGGTGTAATGGTATAATGGTGTTATAGTATTATAATATTATATAATAATAGTATAATATAGTTTTTGTTCCTTCTATTTAAAAAGATAAATAGCGTGCAGTGCGCGTCTGGTATCATAAAAATTTAATCGCAGATTTAGATCTAAGCTATAAGAAACTTTGTTGAAATCAGCAAATAGTATTGTAAAAATATTGAGATCTGATAAAATGGCATCGAATATTAAAAATTAAAAGACCATTTTATATAATTATTTTCATAATAATTCATTATAAATATATATAATTAGAACTGTTATTTATTTATTTTTTCTCTTTTATAATTTTTAAAATTATTTTAAAGCATGATTATAAGAAATATATTTCCTAAATGTTGATCTTGATCGACGAGCCGATTTTTATAGATTTATGAAATGAACATTACCTAAATACTATTACTTAGCATTTGTAAAAAATCCTTTTTTGTGATACCAAAAAGTATTACGGACAAAATGTAATCGTTAAATGTTTACAGATTTAGAATATGGAAAAATTTTGCTCAAAAATTTTTAGATACTATTCTGCTGTTAGAAGAAGATAAAATTACACGAATGGAACAATACAATATGATTATAATTTCCAATATAAAATCAATTAGTATTTTTTTTATATAAAAATTTATTCAGATATTTATGGCTTAAAGGAGAATATAGAAATGCAAGATCGAAACACTTCAAAAATTCAATATAATGTAATTTTGAAAAAATATCAAAAATTATATGCGATATAGAAGATTGTAATGATATAATTGTAATATGCGTTAACATAAAAAATTCTTCCATTTTTTTTTGACAAATATCATTATTGTAACGTTTATGATATGAATGATAAATATAATAATAAATATAAATATATTTATTAATGACATAAAAAAGTGAAGTGATAAAGTGGATAAGATAATGGTTTGCTAATATTTCTAAGCTAACATACAGATAATAGATAACAAGTTGATACTTAGAAGTTAAAACTTAAAAGTTTTTTTATGATAGTAAATAATCTATTGTAATTGGATTTTGGTCCATCAACGACAATAGATAATACAATAAGAGATATATTAGATAATGAAAAAAATTCTCCATATTATAATAATGGGTAATAATAGGGCAAATGATATGTTATTGAGTTTTTTTAAGTTTGACATTTTTTTATAAATAAAGATAAAAGAGATAATTTAACACGAAAAAGATTTTTTTAATGTTTTCGAGATAGAATGAGTTATTTTCGAGAAAAAAAAATAAATTTGAATTCATGGATTGCAAATGAACAAAATCTTTGTAGCTAAATCCTTTCAAATTTTAAGAAGTAATTCCTCACACAAATTCAAAAAGAAAACTTTTTATGATCATAAAATTTATGTCCAAAATGATTTAGTTTCAAAGTAGGATGTCAAAGTTTGAAGTTTTTTTAAACTTCTCTAAGAGCTCTGCAAAACACTATATCTAATAAAGTATTTTTAAATAAATACTTTTTGAGTTGATGAGG